GAGGGAAATTGATTTGTAGTTTTCAGGCGCTGTATTTTCCGGATCTGCTTGGGGACTTGCGCCTGCCGATGACGTCATCTAACTACGGCAATACCGCTCGGCCAAAATATATTGCAACTCTTTTTCAAGTAGGGCTGCAACAAACGATTATTTGGATAATCGATTAATCGGATGGGGTCTCGACACGATTAATCGATTAATCGGATTACATGGGGAAATTTTTAAAAACTGCTAGGGAAACGTTATTTCTCTCCTTCCTTCACTTTATTTAACACAACATTATTAGAAAACAGTTCAATAGCAGAAAAACAACATGCCATCACCTAAATTGTCTTATAAGGTGTATAGACAGAGACCCTAAGCTACATCTATCTGTGACCTAAAATGCTTGGTCCAAGTTAAACAGCTTAAGGGCAATTCTCATCTGTTTTGTTTGATCTCATCTGTTGACATTTATTTTAAATGTAATTAAACATAGGCTGTGAATTAATCAAAATTGATCACTATTTCCAAAAATGACTGAAAAAATACCAAATAAAACAAAAGTAAATGAATGCCATCCTCCTTGCGATGATGCCCTGGGCAACTGCCATAAAGTCACATCAAGAAATGCTGCTGATCATTCCAATGATCCCAAATAGACTCACATTAGGCCACATGAAAGCAACTGAACCCAAAAATATATTAACCAGTATATAACTGCACTCTCACACAACACGCCTGCAGCAACAGTTAGGACTCCTCCCTCCCTTTTAAAAGCGTTTTTGCTTCTGAGGACATTGTGGTTGTAAAACCACATGCTAGTAGTCTGGCCCCGGTGTGATCAACCAGTTTCTGCTGGAATGTGACGGCGGAACCAGGGCCAGATTAACACTTTGTTGTACCCTGGGCAACAATATTCAAGGGCTCCATCATCACAACCCAAGGATCACCATAATGTGGTCACATACAGAATATTTTACTGTAATATGCAGTAAATATACTCAATACTTGAATGCCTGACAACACGTAACCCGCCCAGAGTAACCTTTGACCCACCTTGTGTGGACTGACCAATGAGTGGACTGACCAATGAGGAGAGGGTCTTAACTTGAGGCCCTCTCTTCATTGGTCAGTCTGCATGAGACTGACTCTCAACTGACGTTCAGTCGTAGGCAGCGAAGCGTCTCTGTGCAGTGCAAAAGCCCGGGTGGACAGTTTGTTTAATGTAGGGTGATCATATTTCCATTTCCAAACAAGAGGACAGGGGATCTGTGCCTATGACGTCACACTATGTCAACGCCACACAAACCATGTTGGGACCCATTTTTTGTAAGAACTAAATTAATATCAGATTCTGCCAATTAAAGGGCTCTAAAACAATTCATATGTAAATATTTTGCATATTTAATGCAAAATCTAATTTTTCTGCTTTAGTGCTGCAACAAGGTTTTATTAATAATAAATTATTATACCTTTTGTATTACTACAGCATTGGTAAGCTTCCTGTGCACAGATTATTAAGGATGCTTGTTTCAGCTGTGAGATTAGACGATAGGATCAATGAAAAAATAAGTTGTCCCACACTCCATATAAACTTTCAGAGAATCCACAAATAGTGGCTTTCAAATGGTTTTGTTACTTTTTGCAAGTTTAGAAAAGCAGCAGATGAGACAGCATGTCTGATAATTTAGTTTTTCATCTGATAATATTAGAACATGTCAGTAATGTCTGAGGGGCTTTTATAAACACCATATAATTAACACTACTGGAGAGGGTATGAATTACACAGAGGCTTCTGGGGAGCCCAGTTATTTGGGGGGGGGGGGGGGGCATTTTGCCTTGGCCCCCAAAATGTCTTGAAACGGCCCTGGGTGTGTGACTGAGTTTTGAAGGTGATCTGAATTGTATCAGATGTATAAATATGACATGTGTAGAACTTATTGTTTTTTACTGGTAAAAACGTGTAGTGGAGATAAATCTACCTACATTTTACTTTTCAACACTTTGTTTTGTTTTCTTGTTTTTATTTAACTATTTTCCTGTCCTGTCTGTCTCTCATCTTCCTGCATCTCCTCTTAATTCTCCAGAAAATCTGTTGCCTGGATTCTTACCTTTTCACCTCATCAGTTACTTTTGAGCAGATCAAAGGGATCTCCTGACCGAAAAGCGCAGAGCGCGTTTTCGATGCTGCGTCAGTGAGGTGACATCACCACAGCACAGGTGATGAGCTCCGCAGTAGCGAGCTTCAGGCACAAATAAGACAGAAAATAGAGAACATGTGCGGACATGAACGATCGTGTGCTAATTATAGTTTTTTGGTTGCGCCACTTTGAGAATGGACCGTGCGCTGGAAGCAGCTGCCTGGATCGCTGTGCAACAATGCGGAACCGGTTCGCAGCAGCGCAAGTCTGCCGGCTCTCCCTCGCGCTGATCTGCTGGTACCGGCTCTCCCTCACGCTGATCTGCGGCTCTCCCTCGCGCTGATCTGCGGCTCTCCCTCGCGCTGATCTGACTTGCTCTGGTCTGCGCGCAACGGCGGGCGGGAAGGGGGGGGCGCTTTTGGAAGAGTTGTGCGACACAACGAATCGATGACGCAATTCGTTGCCAACGCTTTTAGTAATCGATTTTCATCGAATTTATCGATTCGTTGTTGCAGCCTTATTTTCAAGTCTGTCCTTTTATGTATGTTTTAGAAAGAGTTTAGCAGTTTTGTTATTAAATTTGTGTTTCTTACTGCCTAAATGTTTTTGAACGTGGTAACGTTATGTAGCGTCACGACCTAAAGGTCATAAACAGGATCTGCTGCGTCTGCTCGAGCAGAGACATAAAGTCTCTGACAGGCTAATCTACATGAGATAGTGGCCAAGGTCTTTCATGCACTCTGCTCACCTGAACTGCTTCACCTCTGTCAGCGAAGACAAGATCTATTTTTGATAAATACCTAATCAACAACTTTGTTATTACTGATAATAATGTGAGCCCAATGTTCAATCAATCTGTGAAATGACAATGTTATTACTTGATATTATAATCCTGCGATCAGTAGTATTTTACAAGTTATTATAATCCTGGACTTTTGCACTAGACACTGATGACACACAGTAATGCTAAAGTCACACGACACATTTCCTTTTGTCTGATCCAATCAGAACCTTCGTTTCTGGCTAGGCGTGGTTTTCTGTGGTGTTTGTATAAACCCTCTTTGGCATGTCAAATTCTGACAATTATAAAAACTATCCCACGCCACCTTTAGTTCAGTTCAAGCGTTCTAGAGAAGTCTTGGATAGGCCATCCGGACTTCCTCTTCAGCCTTAAAGAACCTCAGATAAGCTGGATAAAATCTCTTGCAAGTTACACCTGACCGCAACGGTTCCTTCAGAATAAAAGCTGAACCTCATGACCCCTTCAGGGTCTTGGAGACGTCAGTGATAACCTCTTGTGACCTGGAAGCATTCCAAGACTAGTTTGGTCGGCACCGCTGCTTTTCTACCGGCTTCGGTACCAAAGAGGGTCCACGAGGACCTTGACATTCTGGATCTAACGGAGGCTTCCCCTGGGGTACGTAGACCGACAGATGGCATTTCATGTGTGTTATAAATCTCCTACTAAAGTTTAGAGCAAAACATTCACTCCCACTCAGAACTAAATGCTTCTCCGGATCCGCTGGTTCTGAATAACATTCCACACACACACCATCATCATTCATCACGTCTCACTCCACCTTACTCCATCAGTACACAGAGTGTTAAAGTTAGTCTTGTTTAAATTGTGTAGAAATTAATTTCTTAACTATTATAAACCTGACTCTCTTTCCTTGGAGTTAATACGAAGCGTTGCTTAATCCCTGCAATAAAACGTTCTGATCTTCTGGTTAAAATATTCAAAGATCCATCAGATTGATATTTCATATTTCTATGGAATCTCACATTTATGGTTCATAAGTAAGATGTAAACGACCCATCCTTTACAGTTACTTCCAAAAGTTGTATGTTCAGCCAGTAATCTGGTGTGACGTCATCGACAGGCGCAGGACCCCAAGCTGGCCAGAAGGAAACACAGTATCCCCCAAAGAGGACCTTATGTGCTTTAGACCTGATTTTTATGGTTATATGGTAAGAAGCTGCCAACTGGACATCATTTTATTCATTTTCAACAACGTTTTGATGGATATTTCCAGAGACTAAAGGTGAAAACCACTGGTTCTCTCTTTAAGATTAGAATAATCTTTTCTAGGGATGTAAGAAAATATTGATATAGCAATATATCGTGATTTTTTTCCAGCAATATTATATTGATATTCAAAAGCTGTATATCTAATTTTTGGAAGAATTTACATGCAAACGTGTGTATTTTCTTTTCTTTTGGTGTAATTCAAACGCCGACTGCTAGTTGGCAGCAGTGTGCAGTGGGTTTGTTTCCACCATTGAAATGTAAATCCCTCTATTATGGTTCAGGTACCTCATGTTGAACATGTTAAGTATCAGTTTGGATTGTTTGTTGAATTTTCCTACAATAAATTCAGTGTAAAAATATCATCTGAACGTATCGCAGTATATCGTGATACATGTTATCGTCTACCCTGTATCGCGATACATATTGCGATAATTTCACCAATACACACCCCTAATCTCCCCGTTTTAAGATCAGTGGCCGTTTCTCAGTACGCTCTTGCGTACTTGACAAATCTGTTCTTGGCAAGTACAGCAGAAGGTCAGAGTGAAGGAGGACGAGGACAGCATTAGGAACAGAACCTGCTCTGTTGCGTTATGGCAGTAAGCGCTGCTTTGTGGTACGGTTGATGTGAAATAAAAATGGGCGATGCTGCTTTAATTTTGATAGTGTGTTGTCAAATTGGCAGTTTGCAGAATTGTGAATAGTGGGGAAAAATAAACACACAGCAAATTTTACAGGTTACACATGATTATCTACAATAACTGACAGTTTTATATTTATTGATTTAGACTTCATTATTTTTTTTTATTAGCCGTCTCCTCTTGACATTTTCTGTTCGGGCTGTAATGGGTTGGCACAATGCATTATGGGATAGCTTGTTGTCCCAAATCCGCAGAAGGATGCATTAAGGCATCATCTGTATAACGGGCAGAGCAAGAACACATCTGGGAACTTTGAGCGTAGAACAGTAGAACCAGCGCTGACGAGGTTTCACAAAGAAGTACAGACAAGTACGCATGATGAGACACAGCCATGGTCTCTTCTCACCACTCTGTTTTTTATTTTTTTAAACTTTGTTCTTTCTTAGTAAGAAACCATTTCACCAAAGTAAATGATGTATTTGATTTCCTTTTGCTGTAGTTTACTTCAGTATCAATAACAAACATTTTCCTCCTCAGTCTAACTGTCAGTGGAGACAGCCTCCAGGAAAAGAGATCTACCGGAGAAGTAACATCTCAGTCTTTGAGGTGGACGGGCGAGACCACAAGGTGAGGACACGCGCAGGTGGACGCAGCACGGGTCCTCCAGACGTCTCACAGGCTTAGCTGTAATACTTGTGTTCTGCTTTCAGATCTACTGTCAGAATCTCTGTCTGCTGGCCAAGCTGTTTCTGGACCATAAGACACTTTATTTTGACGTGGAGCCGTTCATCTTCTACATCCTCACAGAGGTCAACAAGCAGGGAGCGCACATAGTCGGATACTTCTCCAAAGTAAGTCTCACCATCAGCAGCTGTGTCTTTCTGTTGTTGTTCATTTATTTTAGCTGGTTTGAACGAGTAAGTTAACCAGATATGTAAATGGTACAGTAGTGCAATGGTATAGTAGTGCAAGTACTAAGGGTGCACTGATCTATCGGCCCCGATATAATTTTTTTCTTCATATTGGTGATGGGCTAAAAGCTGTAATCGGTGCACCCCTATAGTTAATGTAAAAGCAAATAATTGCTATAGAATATTTTTGTACAAGTCTATCAAAACAGGTACAAAAGGTTTGTCTTCAAAATGAGAAAAATGAATGTCTAAAGGAACAAATATGGTTTTGTAGTTCAAACGGCAACGCTACATATGTTCATTTAGATTTGAGAACATTGTTTCATGAGTGTTCATATTGGCTTTCTCAATAAAAGGAAATTGAAACATTCACATTATCTGCTTTTAGTTGAGACAAAATTGGTATCGGCAAATGCGGTTTTTCTCAACATCGGTGATCGGTCAGAAACCACAACCGGTGCGCCCCTAGCAATTACTAGTTTATTATATGTAATAAAGCAAATGTCACTGAATTTCTTCCAAACCAACCTTAATATGTTTTCATTAGCCGTCCTTGTATTATAGTTATCGTCCATGTATTTACCCCTAGTTATTTGTTTATTATTTTATCTCCCTTTTTCATTTTCCTCTTATTTATTTAAACTGTTTCATTTTACATGTAAAAAAGTTAGAATAATAATTAATTCATTATTCATAAAACTGCCTGGTCAAAAGTCGCCCCCTAAAATATTGGACACTAATATTTAATTAACCCTGGAGAAGGTCCATACCTGCTGTAGTGTCACCAAACACACCGACCCGACTCCAGTTCATATTTAACTGCTTTTATTTTGTTTCAGTTCTTTTTCAGAAACAGTTCTAAATATTTTTGTTCCTTTTACACTCAACAAAAATATAAACGCAACACCTTTGTTTCTGCTCCCATTTTTCATGAGATGGACTTAAAGATCTAAAATTTATTCCAGACACGCAATATCACCATTTCTCTCAAACATTGTTCACAAATCAGTTTAAATGTGTGATAGTGAGCACTTCTGCTTTGCTGAGATAATCCATCCCACCTCACAGGCGTGCCACATCAAGATGCTGATTCGACATCATGAGTAGTGCACAGGCGTACCTTATACGCCCACAATAAAAGGCCACCCTGGAATGTGCAGTTTTGTCTCACAGCAAAATGCCACAAGCATTGAGGGAGCGTGCAATTGGCATGCTGACAGCAGGAATGTCAACCAGATCTGTTGCTCGTGCATTGAATGTTCATTTCTCCACCATAAGCCGTCTCCAAAGGCGTTTCAGAGAATATGGCAGTACATCCAACCAGCCTCACAACCGCAGACGATGTGTAACACCAGCCCAGGACCTCCACATCCAGCGGGTTCACCTCCAAGATCGTCTGAGACCAGCCACTCAGACAGCTGCTGAAACAATTGGTTTGCATAACCAAACAATTTCTGCACAAACTGTCAGAAACCGTCTCAGGGAAGCTCAACTGCATGCTCGTCGTCCTCATCGGGGTCCTGACCTGACTCCAGCTCGTTGCCGTAACAGACTTGAGTCGGCAAATGCTCACATTCAATGGCACGTTGGAGAGGTGTTCTCTTCACAGATGAATCTCGGTTTAAATTGTCCAGGGCAGATGGCAGACAGCGTGTGTGGCATCGTATGGGTGAGCGCTTTGCTGATATCAGTGTTGTGGATTGAGTGGCCCATGGTGGTGGTGGGGTTATGGTATGGGCAGGCATCTGTTATGGACGAAGAACACAGGTGCATTTCATTGATGGCATTTTGAATGCACAGAGTTGCCGTGATGAGATCCTGAGGCCCATTGCTGTGCCGTACATCCATGAACATCACCTCATGTTTCAGCAAGATAATGCACGGCCCCATGTTGCAAGGATCTGTACACAATTCTTGCAAGCTGAAAATGTCCCAGTTCTTGCATGGCCAGCATACTCACCGGACATGTCACCCGTTGGGCATGTTTGGGATGTGCTTGACTGGCGTATACGACAGCGTGTACCAGTTCCCACTAATATCCAACAACTTCGCACAGCCATTGAAGAGGAGTGGACCAACATTCCACAGGCCACAATTGACAATCTGATAAACTCTATGCGAAGAAGATGTGTTGCACTGCATGAGGGTAGCGATGGGTACCGAATTTGGTACTTTTTAAGGTACCGACCGAATTCCATAGTACCGACCGAGCACCGATTCACGTCATTTGAAACGGTGCCTCGTTTCGGTACCCGTCCTTCATAACGAGAACTTGCCTAGACAGCTGCGCAAGAGCGTTATGTCGTCGGTCGCTGCGAGCGAGTTGTAAACAGAGCAGCATGGTAGAAAGAATGCACGCTAAAGCTTGGGTCCACTTCACTAAATGTGATGGATAACTGGGTGATGATGAAACCATCAACAACGATCTAAGTGAGACATCCTCATTTTAATCTGCTCCGGTAGGTAAATAAAATGTTTAAGATAACGTTACCTTGATATGTTAGCTTCCGTTCCGCTAATGGTGTGTTCGCTTTCTCCTCGGAATTCCGAATCTCCGGCTAGAAGAACATGAACGCGCTCAAAAGTTTGGCTTCACTTTACTAAATGCGGCGGGTGATTGGGTGAAGATGAAACCAGTGACAACGATCTAAGTGTGAGGCATCATCGTTTAAATCTGCTCCAGCAGCTAAATAATCTGTTTAAGATAACGTTAGCTTGATATGTTAGCTTCCATTGCCACCATTGTTATCAGCTAATGGTGCGTTCGCTTTGTCCTTGGAAATTCTAACTTCCCAGTAGGAAAAATCAAATGAAAAAGGACGGCAAAAGGAATGAAGATACACAATAAATTTAGTTCACAGTAAAGATGTTTGCTTCAGTTTAATTATCAGCTTATAAAACTATAAGGACGATGTTAAAATACAAACAGTTGAATGATATTTATTGTGATATTTATCAAATATGGTTATAAATTGAGAAAAATATATATTTAATTATAAAAGAGAATTAAAATATTAAACACTCAAAAGTATCTAAAATTGGTACTGTTAAGTACCGGTATCGATTCCTAGGTACCGGGAATTAGTACTGAATCTATTCAAATGTCAAAGGTACCCATCCCTAAATGGTGGCCACACCAGATACTGACTGGTTCTGAGTCCCCAGACCCCCAACAAAGCAAAAAACTGTGCATTCCAGGGTGGCCTTTTATTGTGGGCAGTATAAGGTACACCTGTGCACTACTCATGATGTCAGATCAGCATCTTGATGTGGCACACCTGTGAGGTGGGATGGATTATCTCGGCAAAGCAGAAGTGCTCACTATCACACATTTAGACTGATTTGTGAACAATGTTCGAGAGAAATGGTGATATTGTGTATCTGGAATGAATTTTAGATCTTTAAGTCCATCTCATGAAAAATGGGAGCAGAAACAAAGGTGTTGCGTTTATATTTTTGTTGAGTGTATGTTTTAAAATGACTAATATTATAAATTGTAGGGTGAAGCTAGAAATGAACGTTTAGTTTTTCTTTTGCAGGAAAAAGAGTCTCCAGATGGGAATAACGTGGCCTGTATTCTCACTCTTCCACCTTACCAGCGCAGAGGCTACGGGAAGTTCCTCATAGCTTTCAGTAGGTCGAAGGCCTCTGCCATGTTATATACTATAGTACAAATATTACTGGTAGTTAAACATACCCATTTATATATTTTAGAAACTTTGGCTGTTTTCTTAAATCTTTATTCAGAATCTGCTTTATTTGTGATCTTATTTGATGGTTTGCTACACCATCACCTCTGACTGGTGTTCTTACCTCCAATAGTTCATTGTTGGTGCCAGTGGGTACTGCCTTGGCTCCATCTCACATACATAAACGTAAATCAGAGCTGAAATGTGATTTTGTTGAGACAAACTGAGTTTTCATATTTAATCAGCTCAATTTCTTCCTAAACGTTTGGAAAGATGTTTTCTTTTTTATGTTCATAAAACATTTTAGTTATCTTGGGCTAAATGACAGATTTCATGATTGGACTCTTCTCTGGATTATTGAGAAAATAACCGGTGGAGTAAACAGTATTGTGTGTTTTGCCGCTGTGTGTAGGTTATGAGCTCTCGAAGCTGGAGAACACCGTCGGCTCTCCTGAGAAGCCTTTGTCTGATCTGGGGAAGCTGAGCTACAGAAGTTACTGGTCCTGGGTTCTGCTGGAGATCCTGAGGGACTTCAGAGGAACGCTGTCCATCAAAGATCTCAGGTGAGCACGCAGAGAACAGCAGAAACAGTGTCGTCTGCTGTAGGGGATCACGACTGCTTTCATTCACTAACTGGCGTCAACGATCAGAGTTCACTAATAACCAAACAACTTCAACCATTAAAATGTGTAAATAAAAAAAATTAAAAACTAGTTTCAGTCACAAAGTATGAAATGTGCTTTGAAGAGTCAGATAGTCGTCCGTGTTTTATCCTTAGATTGAAACGTTAATAAAAATATTTAAAAATATTAAAGATGCACCAAATCAGGCTGAGATGCATCCTTCATCACCTGCTGAATCTTCTCATGAAATCCTCACCAGAACTCACTGCTGATGTCACCAGCACTGATCCTGTTTTTCAGCCAGATGACCAGCATCACTCAGAGTGACATCATCAGTACTCTGCAGTCTCTCAACATGGTGAAATACTGGAAGGGCCAGCATGTCATCTGTGTGACGCCCAAACTGGTGGAGGAGCACCTGAAGAGCGCCCAGTACAAGAAACCACCCATCACAGGTAGGTGGAGCCCCCCTTCGCTCTGAGGAAACGCCACTTCCTGTTCTCTGTGATGCTGGGAGACACACAGCTCAGGTTACAGGTCTCTGCTGGGCAATCTTCTGAAAACAATCATTCACAAGAGATGTTGATAAATGATGAAAGCAGCTAGAGAAAAACTCTGGAAGTGCTACAGAAAGTCTGGAGGGCCGATGATCTGGACCCTTTAAGGCTCACAGGAATGTTTGGCTGCTTGGAAGGAAACTAGAGAAGGACCTGATCATGAGTTTTGTATTTTTATCTTTCATGTCCAGTTCTTGTCCCCAAGGTTTAACCAATCAGTGGACATTCATAACAAATGTCTTTTTTGCTTTATTTTCATCAGTTAAAGTATTTTATAACTTTTAAGAATTATTAATTTTCTGTACGTAATTCTTATTTAATCTCCAGGTGAACAGTTACCCTTTGGCTGTAGTTCTGTTGTAATTCCTACATCTGAGGATATGTAGGAAACACTCGGCTTAGCGAAGCCTGTTGTTTGAACTTCCTGGGGACTTTTTAAGGTGCTTGTCTCTTTTTGTTGACAGTGGACACCATGTGTTTGAAGTGGGCGCCTCCCAAGAATAAACAAGTCAAGTTGTCGAAGAAGTGAGACGAAAGCATCCCACATGCCAGCCTACCTGTTTTCACACAGACTGTATATAGTTGTTAGTAGTGTCGATATTTTCTTATAATAAACTTGTATATACACACATGAAAAAATACTTTTCTGTTTTTATTCGACTTAAATGTTGGTTCTACATATCTATAATTGGTCACTGGATTTCACTCCGGTGTTTTTAGTATAAATGATGGGTTTCGTTTACATCTGCATACAGGAAATAAAAATTATAATTTGAGAGAAATGCCTTCATGTTATGGCCACCAGCCTCTTCAGCTCCAGGAGCCAGGATCACCCAGCCTCCTGGGATCAGCCTAGACTCCGCCCTTCCTCCTCCTCTTCTCTAGGCTGCTGATGAGCTGAATCCATCCAATGGCCCACACCTGGGATAGAAGGTTGTGCCATCAACAGTCTAGGAGGCAGCAGTGCAGGGGTCCTGCTGTCCTCCAGGCGTCGTATTGGATGAATTTTAACTAAAAATTCAGATGATCCAGATGGGTCTTGTGAGGTTATTCCCTCTTATATGTCAACATAGTTGACTGATGACCTTAATGGTCTTTGTAATTGGTATTTTAAGGTTAACTTTGTTTTTTAGACACTATCAGCTTCGTGCTTTTAAACACCTTTTTGTTATGGTGAAACTTTAAATCAGTTTTAACCAGGTGCCCTAATCTTTTAATGTTAACCTTTTTGTTAAGACTTTTAAATAAGCCTTAGTTTTGTTCAGTGTTATTTTAATAGCACCCTCCACCTGTTTGCACCTTTTTTTTAAACCTTTTATGACAAACACATTTTATTTCAGAATTAAAATGTGTCATAAAAGGTGAATTCGAGTACCCGGTAGTCACACACTTGGGTGTGTATAAATTCAGTTCAAACTGCTTAAACAGGTCAGAGCAGGTAAACATCTTTACTTAAGAGAAAGTTTAAATTACCATTAAACCTTTAATAGGCTGTGTGATGTTTTCTGTTACAGAAATTAATGAATAAAAGAATTGTGTTGCATTACCTGAACTCTCGTTCAGAAAAGCAAAAAGCCTCCAGCAGAGGGCGCTATGAGTTATGAAACATGGATGTTTGTAAATCGGAGCTTTTTAAAATCAGAAAATTACATTCTGTTAAATCCATGTCAGTCTTTGAATTTTAGTAAGTAAATTTTATTTAAATAGCACTTATCACAGACAGTTACAACGTGCTTAACATAGATCAAAATATAATTATCTCAAAACGGAAAATGATTATCAGAAAAAATAGTAATAAAATTTCACTAAACAAATAAAAGATGATGACAGTTTTGTTTTATTCATGTCTTTTTTATTTTAGAAAAACAGGCATGACAAGTACATTTCAAAACATGAATTTTCTCAAGTTTTACCCATAGACTGTACATACATGGTTTTACCCCACAATGCGGCTCAAAAATTGAGCCCAACTCGGAAGTACCAAAATTTGCAGTTCCACCCTCATCCGCTGGGGGCTGGTGTCAGAAGCGAGCAAATCCTCATTGACTCCCATGTTAAAAATACCAATTTCACAGCAGAAATAAACATGTTTACAGCCTGGTACCAAAACATGTCTTTGGTTTAAATTATCTAGTTTACACTCATGACAACTCTGAGGGGGGTGAATTTTTTTCTCACTCTTCTGTTTAAGTGTATTAAAAGCCTAAAATTCTGTATAACTAATGAAAGGCCTCAGTAGAGCCTCGGTCTGGCCTGAAAACTGTTCGGTCATTTTCAGTCTCTCAACTTAGACCATTAGTTGTAGCATTTATGTATTCTTTGTTGGATATTATTTGTGCAATTGTGGGACAAAATGACTTGCTGTGGCAGTAATTGCACTAATAGAGCGTCCAAGGAGTCTCCACTTCTTTTTTTTTCGGTAAGTAAAATTATATTTATGTATTTTAGGTCACTGCCGAGCTGAGCTTAGATTTTAACGGGCTGTTTAACCATGAAATTTAAATGTAATAGGGTAAAACCCAGTGCATTTAACATAAAGCTGCACTTTAGAAAATGGGTTGAAATATAACATGTTGGTGGAGCTCTCGGGAGACCTCTGCAGCTCAGTGCATCTCTGTCTGATCGCGGCTTCTGTCTGCTGCGCGGGCTACCGGCTTGTGGAGCTCTGGGGTGGAAACCTTTCCACCCGGTTCTCCCCAGCGGCAGCTCTGCGCATCTCAGATCGCAGCGACGCTTGTCTGCTGTGCGGCTGCCGGCTTGTGGAGCTCTCGGGAGCAGTGGCGGCTGGTGAAAAATATTTTTGGTGGGGCTGTGCTATTTTTTTATTTTTAAACTTGTGCTTTCTGAGCTTTGTGCACAAGTTCACTATTTCCTGAATTAAGCACAGCTCTTTTATTTCCTGTCTCACATCATTGGACAAACTGATTAATCCAGGTGTGTCTGACTATTGGCACGCTGCCTTTCAGACCAAGGTAGAAAAATACTGCATTAAATTGCACATAAAATAACACGACCATAAATGGTAAATAGGCAATGCAAGAGGCAAGTAACAAAAACATTTTGTTTAATTTCAACATTTGAGTGAACACCAACAATTATGAGCAGGTCACTGTTACAGTAATGGTAGTAAACACCACTTAGACAAAATGCCAGAACTTTACACTGTTAAATATTTCTGGAGTGTTGTGCCAAGGTCAACTTTATACAAAGATCAAGTGGATGCATTTGTGTGTGTGTGTGTGTGTGTTACCTCATTTGTACAGAAATGTTGCCCTTCTGTCCTTCTGAGTGGCAAAGCTCTCGATTAGCTTTTTATTGAAGTCAGGAATGTTTGTGACAAGCTTTTTTTTCCATGGAGAGCATGGCAAGAGCATTCAGCCCATCCTGTGTCATGGTGTTCCTCAAGGAAAGTCTTAATCCTCTTTAAAGTAGAAAAGCACCTTTCTGATTCGGCTGTGGTGACAAGAATCTTCTTTTGCATGGCTCAGGATGGTGTCACAAACCTGTCATATGATAAATAAAAAACAACAGATAAGTACATAGGAAACACTTTCATAGGAAATAATGTCATCAGTATCCTCTTACAAATGTCATATTTCCCAGTTTTTGGGACAATAAAACATTTCAGATTCTCAATCAGATGTTTTTACATTTGAGGTAAAAACATCTAATTGAGAATCAGAAATGTTTAATTGTCCCAAAAGCTGGGAAATTTGTTTGCTGCAGCAGAAGTGTAACAAGTAAAATGGAATCAGATTGATGTATGTACAAATTTACATGAAATACACATTTACGTGATTAAATATGTATAATAAGTATGTGTGTTGAAATTAGTTTTTACAGTTATTGCACATTAAACATGTTATTAAACAAATGTCCCGGTTTGTGGGACAACCAAGGATTTCTGATTCTGATTGTCTTGTTCACAGAAATGTAATGTACAGCTTACCTCTGCACCCAGCTGCTGTTGTTCCCTGCATGGCAACGTTAGCTCTGCTGCCTAGCACGGCTAGCTTCACCGTGTTGTTGTCCATGTGTGCCCGGGGTGACTCGTGTTTCTTCACCTTCTCAGAAAAATGTTTCATGTCTGTAACTCCTGACTCATCCATGCCTTATCTGTCCCAGCCGTTTTGAATAACAAACACGGAAAGCAAAATAACGCATTAGCGTGATTTCATCCAGCTAGCCAAGCCTTCCTGGTGTACCAATTTCAGGAGAAGCCTAGTGTGTACAGTTTACCTCTCTCCTTCTCCTGCTGGCTTATCTTTACGTCGGGCTGATCTGGTCCAAGCTCTTTGACATTAAGTTTTTCCACCATAGTTCTCCTCTCGAACAGATACTGGAGAAGAGACCGAACTGAATTCAGTGGCTGCTGAGATCCGGTATCCATGCTGGTTGTAGTCACCGGCGGCGTCCATGTTACATCTGCGTCATGACCAAAAACGACTCTGCCGAGTTCTACCGAACACCAACGAATCCTTTGGCGGTAGCTCCATCAACCATCATGCTTCTGAAACGTTCTGAAACAACGTCGACGCTGATTGGATACATTCCCATTCCTACCCTTTGATATTCTTGTCAGCAATTGGACAGCTGGTCTCGTCCTGTTTGGGCGATTGAAAAACAGCACACAGCCTCCACCGCTCGGCAGAGATTGGCAGAGACCGGCAGAGATCAATATAGATATATATATATATGATTTATTTTTGTTACAAAACACACAATTAACTTAGAATATGTGATTATTGTTAATTTTATTTATTTTTTTTTTAAATAAAAATTAAAAACACGGAAAAACTGGGAGGACGGCGCCCTATCGCCCTCTACTGGCCAGCCGCCACTGCTCGGGAGACCTCTGTGTTCCACCCGGTTTTACCCAGCGGTCAGCCCGGCGTATCTCTGACTCAGAAGCTCTGGTGTTGTGCACAGTTAACTCCGGTTGTAGCTAGGTTGCTACCTCCGTTAGCTTAGCTTCCACCTCCGCGTTAGCTTTGGGTTAGCTTCAGGTTAGCTTGTAGCTAGTTCGACCGGGTGTCGTCAGTTGATCCCAGCCTTACAGCCCCACCCTCAGCTCCACCTCTCTTCCCTTTTGTGGAATTGTCTGGGCTTGACGGAACCTGTGACACGGTCAAAATGGCGGTGGTGGCCACCTCCCATTTACCCTCAAAAATGTGTTATTGGAGCCCATGGAAACCCATTGTCCAATATTTATATGTCGAAGGTTTTACCCCAAGAACAAACCCCACACAGCCAACCATGAAAGGGAAAAGAATAAGAAAGAAAGAAAAGGAGGGAGGGGGGCTACTACAAAAACCTAAATCCAAAAATCCTAATGCGGAGACCGAGAGACGAAGCAGTGGCGTGTCCAGATCTTTTAAAATGGTTTGGCCCAGGTGAGGCACAACTTTGTGCATGGGTGGCACCAATGGTTATGCTTTTTTGTTTTACCCCCAAGCCTTTTGTGGACAATGAAAAGCCTATTCAAAGGTAAATAAGTGTGGTGGCACCTGGGGTGGCCAATCAGATTCCAAGGGTGGCATGTGCTACCCCAGGCCACTCCCTGGAAGCGCGTTCCATCCGCGAGCCGCATCACCAAGCGGAAAGTAAATGCATCAAGCATAAACCAAGCTTAAGGGGAACC